AACATGTCAGCAAGGTTGGTTTCTTCTGGAGGCTGTGAAGGAAGGATTTGTTCTGGGCCTCACTCCTTGGCTTATGAATGGCCATCTTCTTCCTGTGTCTTCACATCATCTCCCCTGTATATGTATCCTACTCCAAATTTCCTCTTCTTATAAGGATACCAGTCCTATTGGATTAGAGCCTCCTCTAATGACCTTGTGTTATCTTGATCATTCACAAAGGCCCCCTCTGAAATAAGCTCACGTTCTGAAGTACCAGGGGCTAAAAGTTCACCATATGAACTTTGAGGGACACAACTCAACCCATAAAATTAAGTCACAGTAAAATCACCAAAACTTAAGAGAGTCAACATTGGCTTTAGAATTGCATAAGCCTAGTCCTGGACTAGAAAGAGGGAGTGGGAAGGAAGGAACTTGAGACACAGAAAAATAAAAATAAAATCCATGGTGGGAAGAAAGAACAAACATTGGCAAAGCTGAGAGTGAAATTCTGACAGAATCCACAGGAAGTTTCTGGGACTCCGAAGAGAAAGGACTCAGTCCTCAATGCCTCAGTAGAGTCCCATGGAGACAGCAAGACTTCAACATAGAAAGGGTTAATCAAATGGTCTCAGGAACCCCATGCAATTTCCTCCAGCACATTACGACGTGGGGACATCCCCGTGTCTTCAAGAAATTAATATATTTTGACTTCTGTCTCCTCCTCTGTAAAATGAAACTGTTGGTCCATAGGTCTTTCAACTTAAAAGTGCTGTGATCCTGTCCAGACATGGTGGCTCAAGCCTGTAATCCCAGCACTTTGGGGGGCTGAGGAGGGCAGATCACGAGGTCAAGAGATCAAGATCAAACTGGCCAATGTGGTGAAACCCCGTCTCTACTAAAAATACAAAAATTAGCTGGGCATGGTGGTGCACGCCTATAGTCCCAGCTAGTCCAGAGTCTGAGGCAGGAGAATCGCTGGAACCCAGTGGGCAGATGTTGCAGTGAGCCGAGATCGTACCACTGCACTCCAGCCTGGCAATGGAGCGAGACTCTGTCTTAAAAAAACCCAAAATAATAAAATTTAAAAAAGTGCTGTGAGTCCTGGGTTTACAATGGTTTGACATTTAGATGGTATGAAAACCATATGCACTCAGTAAAAACCCTTCTTTGTGCACTCGTACAGAAATTTATACTATTCTGTTTTTGTACCATTCCATTTTTTACTTTCAGTACAGCATTCAATAAATAACATGAGATATTCAATACTTTATTATGAAATAGTCCTTGTGTTGGATTATTTCACTCAAAGGTAGGCTAATTTAAGTGATTTGAGCACATTTAATGTGAACTAGGCCATGCTATGATTGTTAGGTGTATTAAAAGTAAGTTAGATACACTAAATGCATTTTCAACTTATGATATTTTCAGTGTATGGCAGGTTCATCAGGACATAACCCCATAGTATGCCAAGAGGCATCTGTATTCACTGTGTCTTATGCAGAAAAGTAATGTTTTACATCATTTTAACAAAGAGGTGTTTTTTTTTTTTCTGTACTAAAAATTCTAGCCAAGTAAAGTAAAAATTTTCCTGTATAATCAAGCTCTTTCTGCCACCAACCTAATAAATTAGAACCTCAGGTACAGTAACAGTGTTATGATGGAGAGTGTTTAATAAATACAATTGAGGATTACTGGAATATTCAGAAAATAGCCAATGGTGTGGAAAAGTAACACCTAAAAATAAAACAAGACAGAGAAAGAGAGACAGAGAGCAAGCAAGCAAGAAAAATTTTTTTAAAAAATACCACAGAAAAATATTTTTCATAAGGGGTCAAAGAAAATCAGAAGGTGTTTTTCAGATAAGGAACATCAGCCTCACAGCTCGCTCTGCCAGCCCCACTTCTCCAGGACCCAAGGCAGAATGAGCAGGGTGCTGAGAAGAGCCCCATCCAGCCTCGTCTTCACTGTGTGCAGGGACTTTACCGTTGCCCCAGGTCAAAATCTACGTCCCACCAAGGCATGGATAGCAGATAATTGGAGCTCTGCCCACCGGGAAGACTGCTTTTCTACCAGTGACTCAAGATTCAGATTTGTCTGTGAACAGCAGCTCAAGACTGGAGTTACATTGAGAAAATAATAGTAAAGGCTGAAGATAAATTATATGACTATTAGGGGTTTTATTTCTCAATGTCTTAATCTAATTGTTTATCCAAGTTAAATAAAGTGAGACATACAATTGATTCAGGGACGTGTTTAAATTGATGTAGCAGAAGTCAATTTCTTATTTATTTATTTTGAGATGAAGTCTCGCTCTGTCACCCAGGCTGGACGCTCACTGCAACCTCTGCCTCCCGGGTTCAAGTGATTCTCCTGACTCAACCTCCTGAGTAGCTGGAATTACAGGCAAGCGCCACCACGCCCAGCTAATTTTTGTATTTTTAGCAGAGATGGGGTTTCACCATGTTAGCCAGGATGGTCTCGATCTCCTGACCTCGTGATTCGCCTGCCTTGGCCTCCCAAAGTGCTGGGATTACGTGTGTGAACTGCCGTGTCTGGCTGGAAGTCAGTTTCTTATGTTTAAAAACCCCGATAAATTAGAGAGAACATAGAAAGAGATTCCTCTTGTAGCTTCCAGTACCTAGGAGAAATGTGGTTTTGCCCCCACCACGACATCAGCCTCACACCATAAGGACACAGCCCCGCCTGCGGGAGGCTTTATGTGCTCCAGACAGAGAGCAGCTTCCTGGGTTGGTGATTATGTCCCACATGCCCAGTTCCATGGGAAACTCCCATGGGCTAGGTGAGCACCACACAAGACGTGTCTCTAAGCCTTCCACAAAGTGCAAACCCCCAAGAGTGCAAATTACTCTTTAGTTTTTAAATTCTTTAAAAATGTTGCATTTTTGAAAAAAAAAAAAATCAGGTAGAATATTCACCTGTATAGAAAGAGATGATTTCACCAGATAGGTAAAATATCCCTTCCAAACTTGAAGGCCTGAAGAGGTAAAGCCCAAGTACAGAGACAATTCTGATGGTGGAAATATTGAAGACAGCACAGTCTATGAGATCTTGCTGGAACTTTACAATTCTCATCTCCCCCAGTGTGAACAATTCCAAAGAACTCACCTTTTAGAACCTGTTCCAATAACCTAAGCTCTTTTATCCTGAATTTCTATAGTTTCTGTCACCAAAGGAGCAGAGTATTATTATATCAATACATTATGTAGTCATTTAAATGAATTGCATGTGTGGTCTGTTTGATGGTTCTTGCACACCTCACTCTCCCTCCTAGTGCACACGTATCTGAAAAGAGTGAGTACAGGGTCATTGTTATATCCGTATCTACACATGATGCTCCAAGGATGAAGAGGTGAAAGGACACTGGGCCACAGAGGCAGCCACGCAGTGGCCTTCTGGACCATGCACAGTCTGCAGCTGACCTCAGTGGGCTCCACAAACCCACCCACGACCCATTCAGCTACATCCAAGATCCGTTTTTAATCCCAGGTTTTTAGCAGGTCCATCCCTAGACAATCAAGTCATGGCAATAATCCAGGGCTGTATTTTGGAATTCTTAAAACCATTGCCAAAACCAAGTGACTGAAGCTGTCTAGGAAAAAGAAAAAAAAGTTTCTTGCTCAAGATAACATAGATTTAGAAAATTCTGGGGTTGTCAAGGAGCTCAAAGTCTACCTGTACCACAGCTCTCCAATTCTCGATGCAACTAGAACACATAATATCACAGCTTTCCAGGCAGCCACCTGCCTCTGCTTCCACAGATCCTCAGAGGAGGTGACATTTCTGGTCCCAAATAAATCGATGTGGTCAGAGACTAGTTACTTTCTAATAATACTCTTCACATGCTGTTTGGAAAGAAACATCTAGCATCTGTGAGAGAGAGGCTTACCCTTTAATGCTTTGGGGCATGTCAAATTTAAATGAACCAAGTAGACAGAGTAGCAGGTTCAGTGCACTGACTGGTAGAACACAGAGCCAGGGTGAAGGTCAGAGATGTATTAGAGCTGGGAATTTAAAGGTTAAGCGGTGACTCCACCTGAAGTGGACACCTGCAAAGGTGACCCTTATGGTAATACCAGTGTTGCTGCTTCCTCATTCTTTCCTGAGTGTCTTCCAGATGGACAGCTAATCTATCCCCGATTCAATCACTTTTTAAATGAAACTAAACTTGGGCATATTTTGGACTGTAGTTATGAGTTGCATTGATTCCTAACTAAAGATATTGAAATGATCAGACTTAGTTTTAGTAGCAGTAATGCTTACTGTAGTATCCAAAGTTGGTGGGGATTCTGGAATCACTGAGAGTCCATCTGTGATATTTTAGTCCTCATTCCTAGGTCCAGCTCACTCTCCCTTAATTGTGAGTGCTACTAGCTACTGCTGGTACACTACCATCCACGTTTTTTTCTCTGTCTCTCCTGGTACATGATTTTTTGTTTGTTTTGCTGCATTATCCTGGAGAGTATGAGACAAATTTTTAACTGACAAGTCAAATAATATATTTATCTTCAATTCATTATATTTTGTATTTGGAATACTGTACCTGAACACACAATCTTCAGCTTCACCAGAGCTTCTCCAACTCATGCGTCTACTAGAGCCTGGCTAGATTTTGTAAGGGTTTACACTCTTGACCACAGGGCTCATGACCTCAATGGTCACATAGTATCATTTATCCTCTTGACTACAAAGCTTTGGGTGAGTCATCTGATTAGCTGCCCTGACCATTCCCCTTCTCTCTGGTCACTCTAGTGGTCTCTCTGTATCCTGAAAAGTTTTTCCGGCCAGGAAACAATGCTTTCCAGTCTAAGCCCTGGGAAATATTCTTTCTCTGTAGTCCTGTTCTGTATCCCATCCAAAACTTTCCCTTTCCTTGGTAACTCAATTTGAAGGACTGTAGAACTGCTCTTTCAGAAAAAAACTGGCATCCATCCATGAATTTTATAAACATTTTTAAATGCTTCCCAAATTCTTCTGTTTTGTCTGTAACTTTCCACTTTCTTCTAGTTCATCTTCCGAAATGAGTTTGTCTTGATCTGACGCTGGAGCACCTTATCTCCTCTGTTCCCCAGAAGGAGCTTTTGCAACATGGCTGTGCAGAACGAAGGATTTTGTCTGTGGTCAGCGCTAGCTTGCAACTGCGCAGCAAGGGGGAGCCCCACCAGGTCCTGTCTCACTAACACGTCCTCCAGCCACCTGAGCTTAATGTTTCCCCTGAAAATAATGATTTTGCCATCAACTACAAATATTAAGGCCAGAATACACAGGTATTAAATGAAATGATTGTTTTCTCTTTTTTTCTTTTATTGTTTCTGTAGCAATGTTCTACCAAACTTGATGCAGTGACACATAAAACTTTCACATTCACAAACAAAGGAACAGTTCAGTATCAGCCCTACTTACTTTTCTGGCCTCAAACTCAAGTTATACACCATATTAACTGCAAACAGCAGGGTCTTAATCATTCTTAGTTGCCAAATCGCCTAGCAAATTACATATTGTGTTGGCTCTGGGTACTACTAGAGGAAATAAATGCCTATGTTTATGTGGAAAATATGACCATATAACATAATTGGGAGTATTTAAAATCCTTTTCATGAGTATATAATTTCAGCAATGAGTATGATGGGTATTGCTTGAGAATTCTTCAGAAAAGTGAAAAACAGATTTACTGAAATCATTAGAAACTGATTAGTGATCAGTGGCAGTCGCTTTTATCAACACAAAAATAGAGCAAAAGAATCAAGGTATTCATTTATTTTCACTCATTTAGTACCCATATGCTATTTCCATGAGAGCAGCCTAAAGTTACTTAATGTTCAATTCTGCATTGTAGGGAGAGCCACTGCCATAGTCAGGCATGGCCCAACGGTAAGGCATATGGGAGATTCACTCCTTTTCTCTGAGCAGATGGAGACTAAGCATGTCATAGAAATAATGTGTTTTGTCTCTAGAGAGAGGATGCTGGCTGCTTTGTTCTTAGATGACATCGCCTGCCAGGCCTTCTGCTCAGGTTAGAACTCGTATGTTTTGGGTTCCCACTGACTTTTTTTCTTTTGAAAAGAATTTCCACACACAAAAAAACTCTTGCTTTACAATGATCTGGAAGTCTGAGGTGCATAAATGAACTCTGTCTTCCAAAGGACACAGTCTTTTCACATTGCATGGCCAATTTAGCTTTACAAATTCCAGGGAAGAGAAAGGGGCAGGGAGCAGTAAGCCTTCCTAGAGCTGAAGAAGCGAAGATGCAGAGAAGGGTAACTCGCCCAGGGCCTTGCAGCTGACCTTCAATACAAGCAGCTGTCATGACTCTGCTCTACATTGTGATCCAACGTATTGAATAATCCATGAACCTAAAAATGAACATGTACCAGAGGCCAACCTGCAAACTTAACTTATCCACTGAAGATCTTTCGGTGGAGTCTCAATGCAAACAGCAATTGTGCGTGGCTTTAGGGTACCTTTTGCTTGAAGACAGTGTGTCTGCTATTGCTGCTCAGAGCTCAGCATTCTGTCAGGTGAAGGTGTGATGCAGGATTTTTCTTTTTGGTCACTTTGCAAGCTGGGGACCCTTGACCAGTGACACTGCTGCCCAGAGGTGGACACGCTGCCATGCCCCAGTTCAACTGTGTTATAGCTTGTACCTGTGTCCTGTGGTTCCTGGGCTCTTATAACATTCCCAAGAAGAATGAGGAGACGCTGGACGTTGAAGCGTGAAGAGGGTGGAGAAGAATTTTACTGAGTGATGAAAAAGCTTTCAACAGAAAGGGGACGTGGGGATGGTCCCCCCTATTCAAAGGCAGGAAAGTCCTCAATATGGCTGAGTCCAGGACTTTTAATGGGCTCAGAATAGGGAGTGTGTGCTGATTGGTTTGTGACTATGCGGAAAAGGTTAAAGTGAAGACATCCCTCAAAGGTGGACATGACTGTAGAAAACTAATTAGGAAAGGGTAGGTACATGTGAAATAGGTAAGAATGGGAATCTATCAGAGGAAAGTGTGCCAAACGAGAAGGCAGGTTCTCAATCTGGTCGGAGGATTTACCTGGAACAGTCTCTGGCTTGAAGGTGAGTTTCACCGGGGACCCATCCCATCTGCCTAGGCATTTGGCTGCCTCCTGTCACTATTAGATGCACCAGGCTACACATTTTCAATGGCCTAATATTTAGACTCTAAGATTAATGTAAATTATCAATATAATAACACGGCGCATGGCACAATTGGAAGTAGAGTCACTCATCGTGTCACTTTACACTAAGTCACGTGATTGGGTTATTCTTCCTCTGGTACACAGTTGCATTGTTTTGCTATGGCTGTCATAAAAAAGTACCACAGACTGTGTGGCTTAAACAACAGGGATTTCTCATCTCACAGTCTGGAGGCCAGAAGTCCGAGATCAAGGTGTCGGCAGGCTGGCTCCTCTGAGGCTGCCAGGGAGTTTCTGCTCCAGGGCCCTCTCCTTGGCTTGCAGATGGCCATCTTCTTCCTGTGTCTCTTCATATCACGCCCCTTCTGTGCCGCTGTCTCCAAATTTTCACTTCTTATACGAACACCATTGTATCAGATTAGAGCTTACCCTAATGAGCTTACTTTAACTCGGTTATCTTTATAAAGACCTTTTTAGCAAATAAGGTCACATTCCGAGGTGCTGGGGGTGAGGACTCCAATACATCTTTTTTTGGTGGCAGGTGGTGGGGGATACAAAATTCCCTCTGTAACAATAATGAGCTCTGATTCTAAAATTCTTTAATGGTAGTGTCACAAACATTCTGTGATTAGACTGAGGGATTAACTTATTAAATACAAACAACGAAAATTATCACAATTTGGTACCCCTGTTTGAGCCTCCACAATGTTAGTGTGCCCACAGGCACTAGGCTATTCTTCACATTGAGAGGTGGTCAGCTTCACAGCATTCAAGACGCCCTCTGTTTTCATGGGGAGTAAGGACACATGAGCTGCATTCCTGGGCATGTGACTGGTGGATATGAATGAAAGCAGGCTTGATTCAGAATGTGGCTGCCTGGCCATATTCGGTGGGTCCTGGGAAAGTCCTTCATAGCTCTGCTTCTGACTTAAGTGAACCTTCTAGAAAAGCCACGTGACACAGAGGAAGGGGTGGGGTCCAAACCCAGGCTGATGTTCTAGCTTAGGCAAGTCATAGCACAGACTGACTTTGGATATATTACTTACTCTTTATGGGATGCAGCTTTCTCATCTGTAAAATGAGGTTGCCATGATAACTATGAAAACTAACGTGTAAAATGCCGAGTAGAGAGCACAAATTTGACAGGAACTAATTCCCAGCCCCATGCCTCAGTAAGTGGAATAATAACAGCTACCTTTCATTGTGTCTGCCAGATGCCAGGTGCTTTATATGCATTACCCTACATAATCTTTGCAATCACCCAGCAAGATATATGTTATTACATTATTATATATGAGGAAATTCACTCTCAAATAGATAATGCATAATAGTTTTTTATTACAAATGGAGCTGGAATTTAAACCCTGGTTTACAAGGTCTATGGCCTTTCAAATGAGGCTACCCAACTGGGATCTAGTTTTTTGGTTTGCAAAATTCTCTCTTTGTTTTTCCTGACATCATGGCTTTCTAATAATCAAGTCTTTAGAAGATACAAATTTAAGGGACTGTTTTCTATTAAAGAACATTACGCAAGTAAATTACACTACTAGGCATCATAGGATAAATACTCTCTAAATGTAAAGCATACACACACAAGCAGTTAGACCATCTCACGGTACAGAGAGTTGATGTCTGGATGTGAATATCTGGACAGCTGGATAATGGGAAAACATTTGAGTAGTGTTCTGGATAATATGCATATTGTAAAAACAAAAGATTAGGCAGTGGTTATAGGAATTGATATTAAACAGGAGGAGCAATGCAAAGGTACGTCACTATTAGGAATCTAGTGCATGGTGTGTAGACATAAAGTAGATTTGAGTAAAATGGTTAGATCTTTGATCACTGGAAACAGTAGCACGATTTCTAGGTATGGTGAGCCGACAGGAGGTCCTATAACTGCTGTCTAACTTCTCTCACCAGTTTGTTCCTCTTTTAACTCCCCATTCACCTACTGTACCTACCCACTTTGCATCACATCATAGCTCTTGGTATGATGGGATATTTCACATGTGAATGGATAAAAGTGCCCCTGCATTTGAAATATGCACACACTCTACTGAACAACTATTTCTATTCAACTGTGTAAACAAGAAAGTGAGGAAGCCCTTTTGTTACAATTTTATAACTAAAATGCTGGAAGGCTGCTCACCTTTCCAATTAGTTTGTCTTATTTTTATCTCCCCAACAACTTGGGGAAGTGCATTTTATTGCTGTTTTATATTAGATGTAAAATATGCTTGGGGATACTATTTAATGGCATAAAAGCTTGAGACAGTCACACACAAAATGTGAACTTTCTTCAAGGCAGGCATAGGTTGGAAGCATAACAATAAGCGTGCCAACCATTCTTATGCCACTAGACAGAAAATGGTGGGGTATTTACCTCTGATTAAAGAGTTATAGAAGAGTGTAGAAATAGGGATGCATCTTGTATATTTGAAATATGCCAAAACTCACTGCCCAGGGATCCTCCAAAATGCGTATATGTACTTTGTGGCTATATGTTTGAAAGTGAATTTTGAGCAACCCTCCTGCTTTTTGAGAAGCTAATGATAAGGATAGAAAGGAGCGTTGTTGCCTAGTGTTGTCTGGTCCTGTGAATTCGATGGAAGTGTAGTGGGACAGATGGAAAATGAGGCCATTATGAAGCCTCCTCATTAATCCTTGTCACTGTTGTGCTCCATTAGGAAAATTAATATATTGACTGTTTCTCCTGAGATGAATCTGAAGAAAATGATCCATGCAGAGGGAGGAATCAGAATGTCTAATATTTATGACTATTCAGTGGCAGTTTTGGAATACTCTGTGTCCAAAAATCCTGGCATCTCAGTAACCTTGACAACCCCAGGTAATACAGAAGTGCAGCCCTGATGTGCTTGTGTTAAAGCCAGCTCCTGTCATCAGAATGCTCTCTAACAAGCAGGGGGCTAGAGTTTGTCCACGAGAGAGCACTTTAGAGTTGCTTAACTGCCACCAAAACCTCATTTATCATTTTAATAAACTTTCTCAGGGAGAGGAAGGATTTCCCTAGGTCCTCTTTATCTTTGGCGTGAAAGCATAATAGGTAATCAAGTGTGGATCAGTGTTAGG